CATAAAGAAAATTGGATGAAATACAGGGAGAGGTAAAGTAATGTGACCAAAGTGACCAGGACAGTGTATATAGTTTAAGCCACACGTGAGACATAACTCGTGGGGTTCAGTAGGACCCAGTGCCTGATCATAAAGACCACCATTGTTTGGATGTAGGAGGCCATCAAACGTTGTTGGATTAGTGAGACGTTTCACGCTAAGCCTCTTTACTTCCTCAGAGCTCAGACTGAGGAAATTAACGGAGCTCATCCAGAAAGAAGGAGAGAAAGTTGGTGGAGATTCCATTGCTAAAGTAGCCACGTGGGGAAGGCACGGCCGTAAGGTGGAGCTACTCATGTAGAACGGGATGTTAAATGAAATGCAAATTCTAAGTTCATAATAGTTCTGCAGCAATAGACTTTAGTGTCATTGTATGTCAGAATTATTCAGTAGTACTGCTGATGATTCATTTAAATGAATAAGGGTCATTACAGGATCATGAGAATTTTGTAACTATTGGACAGAATCTTGATTATCTTACTCTTCCTTTTGCAAATATTTGCTAGCATTAAAACCTACATCTATAGTCTCACCATGCCCCTTTCCCTACCTCGGGGTGAGACTACTACATCTACAACACTTGACAGTGGCTAATAATGCACTTGCAAAGTCTTGTTTGTTCACTAATTGTATAACATTACTCTTTAACAATTAATCTACACTAAAACTGGAGGAAATACTTTAACATTTTAAAAAGAACATTCATTGTGGCATAGGTTCATAGACATCATCAGGTGATCTTTGACATCATTTCTGCATATGCTTCTTCATTTTCTTCATTTAATCTTTTCTAGTGAATTTTGTATGGTTCTGGCACAGATTTGTATTGGAATATCATCATCTAATACCATAAGAACTATGCATGTCTACTATTTTTGTACACTTCAGTTTGTATTATTATTTGTATTTAGTTTGATATACTGTCATATCTGAAGGAAGATCAGCATCAGTAAATAATTCTATTTCTGAAAATTCTACAAATAAAAATTATTACATTAGTAAAATAATTGATCATGGTCTTCTTTACTGAATATAATATTATCAATAATGATTAGTCGGTAGGCAGCACTTTACCAACTATCACTAGATATGTCAAGAAATTTTCGTCAATGGTAGGTGTGTGAACAATGAGATTAGCACCTGCTGGCCCAGCGGTACAAAAAAGATGTGAATTGTTGCCTGGACAGGAAATTATTTCATTAGGACCAATCCATTGTCCATCAATCAGAGTATCATTAGGTACATTCAATACACACTCTGTAATAGTTGGCCTGATACTATCATCCCAAAAATATGACCCATTGGGATAACAGTTTCCATTATGCATCAGGTAGATACCTATAAAACTCATACAGTTGTTAGTATACAGGTCCATTGTCTTACCTGAGGAAGGTGGACATTGACTAATAACTTGACTGACACTCCACAAGAAGACAAACAGTAACAGTGCTGATTCTGAAAAATAATTTTTGTATTATGAACATTAAAAAATATTCCAATTTTTGAAAAACATCCTGTACCATAGCCCATGCTTTTTTTCAAAAGGGGCCTCAAATTACCTCCAATTTAATTACATTTTCTGATACATATTGATGTCTGTATGTTATGTACAAGAAAGTTTGAGCTGTTTCCTACCAATAATTAGTATTTTAAAAACAAGTCAATTTTTTAAAGAAGAGTAAAGGTTTGTTCTTAGTGAAAAATGGCTCCAAACTCACCATAATAATTCTATTTCATTTTTTGCATTCTGATACATATTGAGTTTGGTAATTTTTAAAGTGAGGCAATTTTTGAATATTTGCTCCAAAATTATCCCTGATTATAGAAAATTTCAACCCTCAAGATGCATTCAAGGCATTGCCAGCCCACTGCAGTTAGTAACTTAGTACTAATCAATGTTGTATACATGTACATGTAACAAGTTCCCTAAGGTCTGTTTATTATTAGTAATAATGTTGTAAGGTCTTTTTTGATACTTTGTCACTGGGTTTGAGGTTCTCTCTTATTGTGTGTACTAGTCCGCAGATGCACCCACTCACTGGCATCGGATATTCTTCCTAAATGAACCCAAACAAGTTCAAACAGATGGGTATGTACATGTACATCACTTCTAACAAGAGTCAGTTTATAATAATTATTTCAATGATTATAATAATATTAGGTGGTTTATTACTTAGTAAAGGATTTTTCAAGATCACTTGATATTAAGATAAAGATGATGACATTTCCACTCTCAAAAGAATCCCATTTATTAATACTTTATATGCACTATCATCATGTTGCTTAGTTTGTCAACAGAATTAATAACATTATTGCTAAACTCTTCTCCATCATTCATAATTTTTTGTGAATTTTTCAATAATAAGTAATAGCATAGCTGATAAAATTTAGGGTAATAAGTAAATAATAACAATAATGAATAATGAGGTGGTCATAGATGTTATTTATCTTTAATTTGAGATATGTGAGAGAATGAGTGAGTTTTAGAGAGGAGGGAAGATTCCATTGGTTGATTGCAGAGGGATAAAATGAATTTTGGTAGGTAAAAGATTTATAAATGATTTGGGATAGATTGCCTTTATTATTAGATCTTAAGTAGTAATTTAAAATTAAAATATATATATATTTGAAATAAGCAATAACCAAGCAAAAATCAATCAAATTATTATGAAGCATTCGCAGTATCAATAATATTAAAATCAAACCCCAGTTCATTTCTCATAGCTTCAATCCAGTCCTCACCTAAAGCTTCTGCTGCATCAGCATAACTGCCTCTTACAGCAATGAATGAGCTTAAGAACTTTTGACAGTGCTCCTGCACTTGAGGTAACTTCCTCTTGAAATTAAGACTAGCCTTGAACTCATCAATACATTTCTCTATTGATGGATTTCCTCTGACAGCATTATTGACCAAACGAAGAGCAAATAATTTATTGACAAGATCAGGGACAGCTTCCATTGGTAGTGAAGTAAGATCAGCATAATGAGATACAAGAACATCATTGATAATTTTCTTTACTTTATTGACATCAACAGTAGCTGATGGACCTAATAGAGGTCAAAGGTCATACACACAGTATTATCACTTACTAGCTCCTCCAGTGTATGATACTGATGTTGATTCATGTACTACATTAAAGGAGGAGGAGGTAATAGGACCTGTGAAATGAGGCACATACAAGCCATCAGTAAAAATTAATTTATCATTGACTTACTCAATGATGAAGGAAGAGCAGGAGGTGATTTGTTGATGTAGACAATTTTTGAAGGATCTATTCCAGTTAATTTAATAGGACAGTGAAGTGGATCCTGAGCAATACCAGGTTTAGCATACACTGATATACTGCAGGTTGCATAAGATGGAGAGGAACATGATGAAAAATGCTCAATTGTAGACTGAAACAACTACAGTAAAAACACGCAGTATATTGCATGATTTGACTGTATATAGACACATACTTCCATTGGTTCTCTGTCAGGATTAACAGTCCATCCTAACTGCAGTTGATTAGTTTGTAGAATCAATTTAAGGGTTCCATTTGGTTGAATAAACTTAAATGAGTCAGCAATATCATCATATTCAATGGACGTCTGCTTGCTCTCTAAGTACTACATGAACATGAATACAACAACACCAATTAATCAAAAGACATTGTACATTATTATGTACATGCATAAATAATAATACTTTACCGTTTTAAGAACTTCCAAATCCCTAACAACAGAATACATAGCTTTCCAATGACCAAATTCTTTCTTATCAGAGTACATCATTCCAGAATACAACGTATCACAAAAATGTCCTAAACATATTTAGTTCACATGCATGTATTGAAACATGTAAAATGTACCATTAATGTCTGAACGTGCAGTGGAATGATTGGTAGAAGATTGTAGTGATTCATTATCATTCCTTGCTGGACACTGTTCAGTGGATACAGTAACTGTAGGTTCATCAGAATCACTTAGTACATGATCCAATTGTTGTACTGTTGATTCATCAGTAATATGAGATTCTGCCTCATGGACTAACTGAGAAGGATCATCATTAACTGAGTCTATAAGGCAAAACAACATGTAGTATACATGATATAGTTACATATTATACCATTAGGTGGTGTAGTACTTGTTGATGAAGTGGCTCCTCCTCCACTACTATTCTCTCCTGCTCCATTACTGCTATCATTAGGTGTGTCTCCATTAGTCTCCTCCTCACTATCATTATTTTCTGCTATACATCATACAAACACATCAACAGTAAATTATTAATACAAACACTATTGTATACCTAGGGTTTGTGTATCATTCTCTGATCCATTCCCACCTCCATTAGTTTTGTCTCCATTACCAATATGTACAATACCAAGAGCACAAAACTCATCACGTTTAATAGAACCAAATCTGTTCCCAACACTAAAAGATCCTCCTTCAACTATACTGAACTGGTAAGGAGACTTCAGTGGAGCTCTCACAAACTTGAGGCAACCAGTCTGACTAGTGTTCCTTAGATCCATACAATGTTGTAGCTCTATTACCAGTGGTTTCAATAGTGCCTTAGATACTGATATCGCATATACTGCACTCACTAGCACAGTACCTTTGGGTACCTTGAAATTACCACCAGCTAGTGCAGTAACAGCTACTTCAGTATCCTTGGACACTGCTCCTTGAGGACACTCTAATCTGAATCCATATTTCTCCCACTGGAGTGAGTCAGACCTGTCTCCTTGAAGGATAAAGAGCTTCTGTCCAGCTATAATGACACTAGAGTCTAGTAAATCTGAAACAATACAGACACATAAATATCTAATACCAGTATAGTACACACATAATCATTTACATTTGTACATGTATATATGTATAATTTACCCATTGAAGGTATCAGGTAATTAAATTGTAGTCCAATGGAACTAGTCTCTTTGATAGGTTGCTTGAGGACCCTCTCTTGTCTTTCCTTCACTAGTTTGGCTATGTACAACTCCTTTTCTTTAAGCTCTATAAATGAAAAGAATATTAATAATTATTATTGATTGATGATGATATACTAACCAGTAATGATCTGTTTCTCATTCTGTGATTGTTCCTCTACTTGTGATGTCAGTTTGGCTATAACTTTGTCCTTCTCAAAAATGAGATTTTGATTGTCGTCTACACAATAAACATATTCTTTCATCTAATACATGCTGTGTGTATAGTTAACTAACCAATAATGATCTGTCTCTCCTTGAGATATTGCTCCTCCTTCTCTTCCAATAGTTCAGCAACATTAACTTTAAGTTTTTCATAATCTTCTACATTAATAGAATATTCTCTCATCTATTAATGTATATATGATACACTAACCAGTAATAATCTGTTTCTTCTTTTCTTTAGTAACTTCAGCTTTAAGTTTCTCATAATCTTCTATGACAATTTAAAAACAAAAAATTAAATAAAATGATATTTGCTGCTCAAACAAATTTTTAGTACATGTAAAATAGCCCATAAATACATGTACTATGGTTATTGCTAATGATACTACATATGGTATGCAGAGGCCACTCACTGTACACAAATCTCATTATTTGTAATGTATGCATAGGAAATTTGACGTGTGTACTATTTTCATACTCAACATTGTGTATTCCACTATTATATGTAAACAATACACTTAAAACATCAGTACAACACAATAGTACCTAATTCAAAATACAATTTATCCTTTTCTGCTTGCTCAAGGAGAGTGGTAGCATCATCAAGTTGCTGAGTAAGTGTAGCTTTTTCTTGAAGAAGCTGTTGCTGCTCTTTATCTCGATCTTGCTGTATCTGCTCCTTCTCTTTTATTTCTTTTTGAAGCTGTTCCTGATAGAATTTTCTCTCTCTTTCTTGTAGGTGACCTCTGAGTAATTGAACCTCTTTGCTTAGTCCTAAATTCTCCCAATCACTCAGTATCCTTCTTCTTAGTTGATCTTGATACTGCTTCAGAGGTATTACACTAGTAGACCAATCATTATTACTAGTATATTCTATACAGTAACAAAATAGTGGAAAATAAGATGCACACCAATTACATAGGTACTATGGTAACCTTATTATTGCTGGATTCATGTTGAATCATCACATGCTCTCATTAATTATTCATCATATAAGAATTACCAATTATCCACTCTTGGAATTACTTACTTTATTACCCTCGTCACACATAGGTGTGACACAAGGGCAAAGCCTGTGTGTTAATTGCAACATGGCAGATTTTCTCTGTTTTCAAGATGTTTCTACTTTCTGTTAGGAGAGTCTCATGATCATCACTACCACAAAAAAGTTTCTACTAATTAGTCATTTTAAGACCTACGGTTTTTATCTCTAAGCTAGTGAAAGAGAACTATGTTGCCAATGTATTTGTGGCATGATGATGATCTCTCTCCATGGTAGAGCAATCTAGTGCTGTATTATATCAAACAAAAGAGTACTATAAACTTTTTTATTTAAAATGTATGTGTGAATATGCTGCAGCGTGTTTCTTTTTTTGGCACTGATCTGCTAGTCCAAACATAGGCTTACCCAAGTTATTATTACATGCATTTCCATTCCTGAAAGGGTGGTCAGGTTTCTTAAACTTCAGAAGCAAACAAGTAATTAAAGTCTAGCAAATTTGTACCGTCAACTTTGTAAAAGCCTAAGCCCATGTCACCATGAGCACCATTTTACTGTATGTGGGCAGTGAAATTAATACAGTTTAATTGAGCCATAGCTACTGACAATTTTTCATGCATTGCAATGTTGGCCATAAACATGTACATGTAATTAAGCAAACTACTCTGTGCTACATTGCAGATCATAATGGTTGTGATGAGAGTCAGCACTTATATGTATAGTGATCTTGTTGATTATTATTATTACTAATTATTATTGCATTTTCATTACACATTGCATCTACTACTATCTACATGTACTTACTGAGTTCAATAACTGCTGCATCAGTGTATTCTGTGCGCCCTCCAAACTCAATTATCCAGTTAGTAGTTGGGGTCACACTCCACACTGAGAGAGAATGCCAGTGTCTGTTAGTGACATTGACTGGTAGATTAATCTATAAAAATTAAAATGATAACATTTGAGTTGTGTATGACATAATTGATATCTGGTGAAGAAACACAATAATTATCTGACAGTTTTATAGTGTTTTATATGTAACACAAAGATGACATAATAAAAATTATTATACAAGTATACATGTATGTACATTCACACATATTTAGGTAAAGAAACACAAACACACATGCACACTAAAAATAGACACACACATATACTTAATACCAGCATCATTCATCAATAGTTTTCACTGAGTATTATGTACATGTACATTACAAACCTCGTGAGTTACAAATTTAGTTAATCACTTTATGTTTCATTATCAGGCATCATGATATAATACTTACCAATTCCTTCCATACTTTTTTGTTAATGTCCAGTAACCATACATCATAAGCAGGTGATCCACCCACCACTAGTAAGTGTGGTACTGAATCAGTGGTAATCAGTACACTGGAATGAGCTGCTCCTCCCTTAGGCCATTGTACTAATCCCCCAGGATTAGGTACTTCTAATACATCCTGAGAAAAAAAAAAATCAGTTTAATAAAATAATTTATTAATATCAGTTATTAATATTTATTACTGTAGACTTGGTTTAGATTGTGCATCAAAAAATTGTCTTAGTAACATAATAATCTAAACTTTAATTGACTGCAATTCGCATGTACATGTCAAGCCATGTCAACGCAGTTTTGACGTAATAGATTTTTTTTCAATTGCAAAGTAATTGAAAATCCACAATTTATAATCAAAGAATGTCGCAATCAAAACTCATCCTTCAGTATTAACTCACCACTGATGTCATACTGAAACTTATTATGTGCAGTTTACTGCTCCATCCATTATCAGTATCACCCCCGAACATTACTGCAGTGTTATTAGTAACTGGTGTGAGAGTGAAGGAATGAATAGGAGGTGGTCCGTCTCCAGTAACAATAGGAGATATCCATTGATCTAATAATAATAACAAACAGTCATGTACACTTACCACATACACACATATACACTATACACATTCATCATACATATGTGTGTGCATATGTGTGTACATTATTATTTATACGTACACATACAATGCTGAAGTTATCCACACATTCAGCAGCCACACATTCCAATGTAACCAAAATTTTGATAAGAACACATTCCATCAAATTAACACGCCCACTCAGTTACAAACCACCTTATTAAACTGCTCTTGATACTCATCAAAGGATTATAATGCAGCAAAATCTTTTACAATGCACTGGTTTTTCCCACCACTTAGTATATGGCACACCTCCAATACAAAACACATTGTTTTCTTCTTCTCATTAGTGTGTATTTCAGGATGATCAGAGGCTGCCTTCTGCCCTGCATCATGTTTTTGTATACTTGTACAGTAAAAGCCTCCTACACTAGCCAAATGCTGCTAGCAACATGTAGCCTAGTGCATGGGGCCTTAAAATAATAAGCCCTCTCATCATTGATTATTTTTAATCATAAACGAAGTTCAAAACCACCGGCACGGCGAAAAATGATTATTTTACATCATAAACAAAGATAATA